TGCAAAAGTGACATCCCCCTCAAGTGACATACCCATCTCAACAGCCACACTGACACTTCTCAGCTCCTCACCTGCAGGTGCACTCCTGGTAGCATATGTGCATCACTAAGGTCTTTTATACAGCATCTTTGGTAACAATAAGGCAAACATCCCCCAGAAGTTTGTGTCATTACCAGCTTATTAATTTGCACCAGTATTCATTTTTACACTGTTTGTCTGAGGACAGACATAAAGAGCTTACAGCAGATCGAATCAAACTACTCTCTCTTCAATACAGGCACATTAACCAGCTCTATCAGGCTAAGGAAAGCTCATTCTGTTTCCTACTTCAAGAGGGCAGGAATAGAGGCATCTATGATCCCAGAGTCAAAGAAAAGTCTTGCAAGGGCATCCAGCTGCTCAGCAGCACAGACCTGCTCAAGCCCTGAAGCACGCTGGTATCCACACGTGCCTTCCAGTCACCTCAGAGTGCAGTCAGCCCTCCCCTGCCTGTGAATGGCAAACATACGCAGCAGCTCTCTCCCAGGCCCGCACGACCTCCCTGGTATGCAAAAACCATCTTCAAAACCACTGTGACAGAGCCAGAAACCTCCTCAGACAAATGACTGCCAGTATTTAAACAGAGAGGACTGCCTAATGCCAGTTCCTAACAGATGATGATCGATATCCTCAGTGATTAATGGACAGTAACATACACTGTCCTCTCTAAACAACAAAGCACTCTGCTGCTCTATTAATGAACCACAGAGAGCCTGAACATTTCTGCCTCCCTAGCAGCAACTGCCCCCTCACCAGCTCCTCACTGACTGGCACCAGTGGTGTCCAACTGGCACATCATGGGTTGCTTCCAGACAACTGGGCTGTAAATGGGACCTGGTCTAGTTTGGTTTCTTCCTTCGGAATCCTATGGATGCAGCAGGGGGCTGGCTGGGGGCTGGAGGAGTAATCCTTGCGCTCCTAGTGATCCAGGGGTACCTCAAAGGCAGGTGGCACTTGCCTTGTAAAGCGTGCAGCAAATCTGGTTTTGTACATGTCAAGAGTCACAACAGATGGCCTTCATGTCCTCTGTCGAAGCTCTGGGCTGCCCTGGCACACAGCCTGCTCCATTGCCTGGGCTTCTTTTATGCGTGGTACAGACATTTTCTTTCAAATTTTGTAACTCGGCTGCTGGAGTTCTGTATTTCATTGTACCAGGTGTCAACTGCTCCTTCTCTATCCCACTTTGCTGTCTGTTGTTATGGGGTGTTTCTTACTTAGTCTTTCATTACCATTTCCTCTGACACTGATCTAGAAAAGCTTTTTACCTCACACTGTTTCTCCTCCAAAACTGAATCAGCATCAAAACATCCATTTGTACTCCTGAAACTCAATTAATGAAACTTGCCCCTAGTAATCTTCAGTTCTGAGGAACCAGCCTGCCCACCAGCCTCCCCAGCTAGCAAACAGACCTCTGACCACCCAGAACAAGCACTCATGCTGAAGTTGAATCCCACCTTCCAGGGCAGCATTTTCCACAGCACTCAGCACCAAGCTCTACATCAGTATCTCTCATTTCTATTTGGGGAAAATGGTGCTGCCTTTTACTGGAGCAAAAAAAGACTGCAAGTAGCTAACTATTCAAAATAAGTCCCTGATGAAGACAACAACATGCCCCTGCTCCACCTCCACCAAACAAAAGTAAGTACTTAAAAAGTAATTTCTTCTCCTCTCTGGTTCAATGGGGAGGCCCACCATGGGCTGTACCTGCTTGGCGTTGATGTGATAGACCGAGAGCTGCTGCAAAACTGCAGACACAGCGTCATCATCCCTGGAGAACAGCTCTGCCATCACCTCCCCGATGTTGCTGTAGGGGATGGGCACACCCAGCAGCAGGGCCACGGTGGGCACCAGGTTCACCTGGGGAACAGCCTCAGGCTCCTGTAGACACAGGGGAGGAATTGGAAATGTGGAAAAGAATACAGCAATGTAGCTTTTCACGTGGGCTAGAGCATGCTGGGGAAGACAGCTCTGTTCAGAGGGGAATCTGGGGAAACCCAACTGAACTCTCCATAAACCCAGAATGCAGTTTTCATCCTGAACACCACCTCAGGCAGTACCAGGTAAGGATCACCTGCTTCTCCTACCTCTGGAGGGCCAGTGCCAAAGAGGGGAGATTTGCTGTACACAAACAGTGCTGCATTCACTTCCTTCTCACTGTCACCACCATGGTCTCCAGTCTCTGTCATGCCATGGTCCCCAGCCACCAGAAGAAGGGTATCATTCCCCAGGTGATCCACCAAGGACCTGTCACCAAGATAAGGAAGGTCAACCCCTACCTGGACAGGAGCCCTAGTGGGAAAGAACATATGCCCACCAAGCCTGCCTGCACCACAGGAGGGAGTCCCACAAGATGATTGAGCACAACTAAGTGCTGACATAGCTGTAGCAGCTGAGTTGGGGAGCAGGGATGCTTCAAAACTGAACTGAATATTCAGAGCCCTGGGACAGATCAGTCTTGCTTACATCCCCAGTAAACAGTGGCTGGTTCCTCACTGCCTTCAGGGATCTCAACGAAGTGCAATTCAGATGCCCAACAGGAGCAAATTTTAGGCTGCTTTTATTTGGGTCCTTGGGTACTTCTGAGCATGCAACCTCCTACTTTTAAGGAAAAAGGAGGAGATTTGTCCCTGAAGGATGCAGTAGGTATGGCATGACATGTTCTGCACTGTCAGATGCAGCAGGGCAATTTACCCACTCCTACCAGCAGCAATAAAGCAGCTCTAAGAGTCAGAACCTGCAGCACCTTGGGCTGAGGCACGGCTGCACAATCAGGACTTCGGGATCCCATTCTGCCCTCTCACAGAAAGACAAAACTCATGGGCCTATGCAGTCAATGCATTTCCTAGCCAGGGTTCTCCACATGCTCCTCAAACAGCCACACCTCAGTGTGACAATCTCCATTTTAAAGACAGGGAGAGTGAGGCTCAGCTGTAGCCCAGATGCACAGTTTGGTTGAGAATCAAGGCTCCAAGACTTGAAGACAGCCTTACCTCTGAAATGCAGCCTCTCATGAACATATCTCTACACAACTCAGGCTGTCACTTAGCTGGGGTTTCAGCTGCTTCTAGCCTGGCCATTCTCCATGCTAACAGGCACAGTAAGTGTTCCCTGTAACCCTCTGCATCTGTGAATGCCTTGGGAAGCCCCACCAGTCTGGCTGAAGGAAAAGGCCAGCCGGCAAAACCCCACACCGCATTAATCACCTGAGCATCTCATTCATCTGGGTGAGCTTCTTGGCCATTTCAGGATGGTCAGGTCCATGTTTGTGCCCGCAGTGGTCCACACCAAGGAAGTGAGCAATCAGCACATCCCACTCACCACTGTCCACTGCAGAGCAAGAGCAGTCTTGTCACACACTAGCCTAGGATTCAGGCATGGGCTCTATGCCTAGATCCTCTTGCCAGACCTTTCTGCTTGTCTCTGGAAACCACGATGTCTTCCTCTCCTGCCAACACCACTCCCAGCTCTCAAGCTGATGGACAAAGATTTTAAGGCACACTCTTGGTCTGCGGTGCCTGGGTGCAATGGTAAGCACTGCCATGGCTTTGTTTAGCAGTCCTCAGAAGGGAATGCCCCAATGTCACCCAAGTCACCTTTAATATCCTTAACTCAAATTGCCATAAACAGAGCTAAAACACAGGGATGCTCAGGGAAATTACCTGGAACTCTAGTCCTTCCCCGGAGTTACTTCAGGTCAGAATCATCAATCTGCCCTTCTGCATCCCAACTAGGATGTGGACACAGCACTCTGACACTGTCCCTAGCTAGGAAGTTACCCCAGCCTCTCCCCTGTGCTTCAGGGTCTCGACACAGGAAAGCAAACATATCTGGAGCTACATGATGAACTGCAGCTCTCCCACAAGGCACAGACTTCCTGGGAAAGGCCAGTGCACCCTTGGTTTACTTATCTTCATACACAGATAAAGCAAAGATCATTCCCCTCAGCCCATGTACCTTAGCGGAGAGTCTTAAATCAGCTAAAATTCACAAATCCATCTCACACTTCACCTTATTCCCAAGACCAGGAGCTACCGATGCTCTGTGGAGAGCAACACCATGGCCCATCCTCCTGGTTGCACTGCTGGATATTTTCCAGAGCCCTGTGTGCCTGCCTGGGCAGCCGCGTGTCAAAGCTAAGCTGCTCCTTCTGCTCCACCCTGGCTGAGTATTTCCTGGATAGGTGTAGAAGTCTAACCTCACCCCATCAAGCTACACACTTCTTTTTTTTTAACAGAAAAGAGTTTATAGGACCCAAAATCTGGATTATCTGATGAAATCCAGCTACAGCATTGCAATCCCAGGGCAGCAGGTGTGACTGCCCAGTGCCACTCTGTAACAGAAAAAACTATTCAGTCCTATCCCAAACTTGCAGTAGAAGCCCACCATTCACCAAACTGCTTACCAGTTGGGTAGAGATGCTGCAGGATCCCATTGTCCACAGTGTGAAGATCCTTCACGTTAAAAGAAGGGAAGAAGTACGAGCGGAAGAACTTCTTTGGGAAGAGTCCTTCCCAAGTGTCATCGCCCATGAAGACCACTCTCCTTCCTGAGACAGGGAGAAAGGAAATAAGGGAGAGCAGGGAGCCCACCCAAGTCATGCTGTTACTTGCCCTACTGCAAAAAGCCTGGGCAGATCCAGGTCAGGGTCTGGAGCGTTGGCTCCCTGTTGAAAGCAAAAATCAATTGAATATATGAATATTGGAATCAACTGTATAAATGCTTAGATTTGAGGAAACTGAAAACTGCTTTATATAAGTGACTGGCTTAGCCTGAGCAGCTAGAGTGGTAAGACCTTGGGTTGCAGATTATAACAATTTTAGTTGAACTCCTGAAACTAAACCTGAGTTAAACTTTTACCACTTGGAATAACATTGAAACTACATGTAGACAATGAGACAATTACTCAGAATGATCTTACACAACTGTAGGACAGATCAACTGAGATTTAAAGTTTGAAAAACTGAACTGTTGAAAAATTATCATGACAAGAAGTAGCTGAAAGTCAACAAAGAAAAATGGTCATGACAAGAAGTAAGTGAAGAGGAACAAAGACCCTTTGGTAGATGAAGACAGAACCAGTCAGAAAGGGAAGAGGTAAGTGGTGGACAAGATTCTGAGGACATAAAAGGCACAGTAAAACAAAGAGCAAGGTCAGTCCTTTTAGGGAGACCCAGATCGAGATGAATAATATATTAATAATAAAATAAATAAATAAATAAACAAACCGACTCTATATCAGAACATAGGGTCCAGATTTTTTTTATGGTCAGGGGCTAAAATTGGATCCAGTGGCACCCAGACTCCTCTCTTTAAAGGAGTTTAGAGATCAAGAGGGTCCAGTCTGAACCTCATGACTCAGTGCAGAAGTTTTCCTGGACTCTTCTTCAACACTTCTCTCTAAACCACATTCAAAAAGTGACCAAAAATTAAAACTGCCATCTGGCTGTAAAGGAGTTTGCACACAGGGAGTGACCATCCCTGTTTCTAAGCCTTCAAGTGCCCCCCGCAACAAATCCACCTGCACAACCTCATGACTTGTTGCTGATCTCTGACACATCACCCCAGCAGAAGGACCTCTGGGTCCAACAGGCCAGGAAGCAGGTGGGTACCACCCTGGCACAGCAGGAGGTGCAGCACAGAGCAGACCAACCCTTACCCAAGACCCACTACCCCACTGTCAAACTCAAGGCTGGAAATGGCTGCTGACAGGGGCTGAATAGAAGCCACGAGTCCTGGGCTCTGGGTTTGAAGACAAAGGTGGTGAGTTTCTTAAGTTAGAAAGAGAAGCCAAAAGCACTGATACTTCCTGCTGCCCTGGTTCTGCTCGCCCTGCCTGCCACCAGCCAGCACTTCCTGTTTCTGCAGAGCCCCTCCAGCAGGGAACAGAACTGTTTCCTCCAAGGCTGCTCCTCTGGCACTGCTTCTACAGGTGTTCTTTGCCTGGATGACTTAGTGTCTGCCCACTTGCCCTCACACAGGGGAGCAAACAACCCAGTCATGTCACCTCCTCCCAGGCACTGGTTTGTGACCTGCTATGAGCCCTGGAAGGAAATCTCTCTGGTTAACACAAGATTAGTGATAAGATGAGGGTTAAAAGTTTTAAGCAGAAAGAGAGCAGATTTAGAATCACAGGATTGTCATGGTTGGAAAAGACCTCTAGGATCACCGAGTCCAAGATGAGACATTAGGAAGAATTTTTTGATGAGACACTGGCACAGACTGCCCAGGGAAGCTAAGTCCCCATCCTGAAAGTGTTCAAGGGAAGGCTGGAAGGGGCTTGGAGCAACCCGGTCTAGTGGGAGGTGTCCCTGCTCATGCAGGGGTATTAGAACTGGATGATCTTTAAGGTCCCTTCCAACTCAAACCGTTCTGTGATTCTCTGATTCTGTGACTGCATCCTGCCTCCTTTTCTCTGCCCAAGAGGTGCAGGCAGCTGGCCAGGCAGGCTTGCTGCCTGAGTGGCACTTACCCAGCACACCTGGCACCAGCTCCTCCCTAATCCTGTATCTCACCAGAAGGCAAACACAGCACAACTGGGTGCCCTTGGCTTCCTACAAGTCATTCCCGGTGGTGACCTTGTGATGGTCACCATGAGTACAGCCACTTCTACGTGCTTTCCTGCCACCTCTGAGGATGAAGCCATGATCCCAGCCACTTCTTGTTCCCAGGACAAGATGGAAAAACCCTGCACGACGCAGCTCTGCCTGAGACAACTGTCATCCAAGCAGGGGAAAAGAATGAGCTGAGCGGGCAGGGATGCTGCAAGCAGCTCTCTTCCCAGGAAGAGGGGAACAAAGGTCCCAGGTGACCCCCAGCCCCTGGTTCGCAGGTGCCCTGCCCCACCCACCGTTCTGCACCAGCTGTGCCAGCAGGTTGTCCTCCTGGATGGCGTAGGTGGCGAAGTTGCTGCCCCCGTCGGGTGAGGTGGGGAGGGAGCG